ACTTAACGGTGGTGACTGGTAATTATGTTTTTTTGTTTTTAGTCATAGCCACCTCTGATTAATTAGGTATCTATTTTTTGTAATAATGCAGTAGAAAAGTCACCGCAACTATTTCATTTACATAGATAAATATACTAACCTATATTTTTGGAAAGCGCAAAAATGCTCTTTTTGTTAAAGTCATAGCAAACTATGATTCTCGTTAAAAAACACAACTTTGGTTTATAACTCGAAAACTGCCAGGCCATCGAAAAACTAACAACGCCACTGGATTCTACAGTACGAAATCTATAGGAATCAGTTTTAACATCAACGAAATTTTGGATAGTCTGTGAACTACAGGAATCACCCAAAATAGCCGTTTCTTGATTTTTGGCCTGTAATTTAAAAACGATTTTTTTTTTAAATCTGTTTTGCCCATCTAATTCCCATTGAAAAAGTAGCCAAGGTTCGTGAAAACCGCATCTCTCTAGCTTCTATGATAACCGAGATATCATACAAAAACATCGAAAATGGGACATACTATCTCTAGACGTTTTTGAAAATTTTATGTTTTGAAACAAGTGAGCTACGAATGGTTTTCTATTTTATGTTGTTTTTCTTGACTTTCTGCTAGTAAAATGGTACCTTTTATATCCGTACAAAAGTACTTGATAAGATTACGATTTATACAGGCTGTTAATAAACATATGTCATTAAGTTTAAAGCCGAGCTGTACTCACCCAATTAAGTAACTCTTCTATATAACTTTTTTTTATTTTGTGCCAAATAACAGAAATAGAAAAGGTATGAACGTCTAACCTACCTATTAACACACACACGTGATACGCGTCGATAGATATTGAAGTGCTCAGACTGCTATAGAGGGGAGAACAAATAATTTTTAAATTCCAATACCCGTCTTCAAATGCGTCCAGGAGAAAAATGTTATATAGAAAAGTTACATAATTTGGTGAGTACAACTAGTCTTTAAAATTACTAACATACGTTTATTAACGGCCTGTATAGACACAGAGCTACATTAGACATTTTACTAACCACAAACGATTATTTCTCTAATTGACATCTTTGTCCAAGGCTAACAACGCAGATGAGCTCGGAATTTCAGCAATTAACGTTTCAGCTATAATTTTGCCGTCCAAGATATGATTGGCGAAGTACTTATTCTCGAATGCTCGCCGCTACGTCGTCGTGTAAATCCACAGCGCAGTGACAAACGATTATGACCGGCAATTTCAGTGAGCCCATAATCGTAAATCGGTTTTTTACGAATCGAACTAGCCGAGAGGAATTTGTATCTAGAATGATGGAAATGCACTTAGCGCGAAACGATAACTCAATAAACATTCAATCAAGGACGCAGTAAAATCGCCGAGGGCCCGAATGGCGCGCAACTCGCTACAAATCTCGGAATCATATTTTCCGTAATAGTGCGACGGCAGATTTTACGGTTGGGTAGGCCGGATGTTATGTTATCGCTATTATTGTCTTTGCCTTTAACTGAAAGTTCAAAAATGAAAACTCAAACCGACTCGTGGCGTCATCTCATTCCGCAGATCTCCATTTCATGATCAATTTTTTTCTACCAGTTAGTTGAGTTTAGCTTGGCAACTCGGCTTTAATTACCCCATTATTCGGAAAGGATGTGAATCCGCTGGTGTCGTGTACTGTGAGATGTCAGGCACATTTATGTTGCCTAACCCTGGCAGGTTAGGGAGTGTTTATAGTTCAAATGTACGGGTCGAAATCATATAAGCAGTGCAATGTAAAATATTACCACTCATGACTAGCTTTAAGCAAAAAAATTACATAAATAGTATAGAATCGATAATTCTGCCTTGTATGTATTTATGGTAGCAATACGTCGCCGTCGGTTCGACATTTCTTTATTTTACCTAAAATCAACTGATTTTACCATAAAAAACAGTTCCGCCAACTGTTAAAGAATATTTAAAAAAAATAAGGCAGTTATTTATCATTTCAAATTTAGAACCGACGCGACGCAACGCGAGACTACAAAACGTATCTGTGTGCAAGGCTAGGTCGTGTGACGTCATATACTAGCTATATGGCGGGCGGCTTATTATGTATCTTGGTGTAGATGTTATTTGTGTGCACCCCAACACTTGGTGGGCAGATGGGCTCTGCTCCATTCCCCTTAAAGCCGCCACCACAAGGGGAAACAAGGGGGGGGGTTGGGGGTCCTTTTTTTTTCGCCCCCCGGGGGGGGGGGGGGGTTAACACCCGAAGGTGTGGGTTTTGTGGGGTTTTTCTTTTACCCGTTCGGGGGTCTTGCTGGTTTGTGTCCTTTCCCCTTGGATGCCGATGTATTACCACGATGCCGATGGTGACCAGATCTTGTTTTTTTCTTCTATTTTCTTTGCGCTTTAAAAGTAGTTGTGCACATGAAATAACTACAGCTGCATCAGCAATAACAATATCTTCGTCGGTATACGTTCGCTTTCCCAAAACGCTGCCAATATTAGCCGTATCATGTGGATAAGTACTTTTCCATGCAGGAATGGAAACATGACGGTGAATGCATGTATACCTATGTTGGACCAAAGACCATTAATGGTCTTTGGTTGGACACAAATGCATGTGCCATTGGCAGTCGTTTGCCATATCCGCGTCGTGTAAATCTCTTGACTCTCAACTCTCAACTTGACTCAGTTCCCAACCAATTGGTTTAAAATTCTCCGTCTTCGACCCAGTAGCCAGCCCCCAGATAGATTATAAAAAGTTGAAGGGTGTGATGTGGGTATACGAGTACACTACAATTCAATTAAATTGGAAATTATATCCGATTCGTATATTAACTAGTTAACAGATGTATGTCTCGTGCTATGACGGCGAAAGACTAAATAAATACCATGTCACATAACTATCAGAATGAATAATTGGCACGTTCCGAAGAGTCCGTGGACGTCTCGCGTCGTTGCTCTGATTCTGGCCAACAATACCCCATCTAAATTCCTTCCGAGTCTCAAGTACCGTTATAGGTGTCGTGAGTTTCCAATCTTCGATTTATTACACCTACATGATGTCTGACAATGTTAAGAAATAACGACGAAGAGTCGTTACGTACTTTTAAATTCCCGGTGGATGTACCATTGAAAAAATTGATTTGTAACATGACAGAAAATGTATTGACAAAGGCAGAGTTACATTCTGAAAAAGGTAGATTAGGTTTACTTAGTTATTGTCATTAACGATACTACTATATTTTGCGGGCATAGTTGCCAATTGCAGGGAATTTTCTCCCTTTTTAGAGAATTTTTTAATGAAAAAGGGATTTTTTTGACAAAAAGGAATTTTCAGTAAAAGCCAAAACCGAACATTGAACTTAATTCGTGCTTTGAAACATTGGTTTTTTGAAATGTCTTCAGGCTGTATTTGCTCGCTAAAATTCGCTTGTTATCTAAATAGATGACCTAAAAATTGTCATCGATAAAGTAGTAAATTACAAATAACTGTGGAGTAGTGTGGAGCAACTCTTCGCTATACGCGATGGGTCCGTCATTCCATATAACTAAGTATCAACGTTTCTTGTGTTACTTTGTGTTGCATATTGAAAAGCGTTTATATTCTACATCACGAAAAGTCTTCTTGGCATAATTTGGGTTTCCAAAATTTATAAATTTGGTTCTGGACAAAACTGCATCGCCATCTATTAGTAAGGCGCTCCACTTTCGGCGTATTTGTCAACGGGAGCACGACCCAGAATGTAGCCGAAATTAATACTATACATTTTTAGTTTGCAACGTTTTTCTTTAACTTTCCTTCGTCATGTGACCCTAATCTATGGCAAAAACGGTAGTAGGTAGCCGTTTTTGCAAATTGTTTGTTTAATTTACAGAAAATAAATATTTTATGTACTGTTTAGTAGCGGATATACTTTTTCGATAAGCAAATTAGACTCGCTTATTACAAAATTATTGTACATAATTGTGCAATATAAGATGAACTAACGCCTCACTTTAAGTCCCTTTATCATCTCCATTCTAAAAAGACATTTCGATTCTATTCCATCGCTTTTTTATGAACAATACTTTGAAAGAAATGGGGGTGGGATTCTAAAAGTAATTCAATAAAAATATTATTTTACTTTACTTTGCGATATAAAGTGAACTCCGTCTTCTTAACACAACTATTACAGAAAAATCAATTTCATTGCGTTATTTTTAAGATTAATACAAAGAAAAAAATTAATTTTTGGGACCCAGCCACTTGCCCTGATCTGCAAATTTTGTCAAACCACACTTTGTCGTGGGATAGCAATCTTTAAAATACCTAGCATCGCATAGTACACGGAACCACTAACTTTACATAACTTTCAAAGGATGGCGTGACTAGAGTCCATCCTCTAAACTGACCCAACACCATAGTTAGAAAAATATTCTGTCCGTTATCAACAGGAAGGGATTTTAATAATTTGGCACATTGATACCGATCACGATGTATGCTTTATCGTTCCTCTCTCATGTTACCCCCTTCCTGTTCATTTACAGTTCTTTCCTGATCATAAATTTCTAACAAGAAAATCCGCAGGCGATGACGAATCTGCAGGAAGTTTCAATAATAAATAAATCAGAGCCCCTCTAACTGCCTCGCATTTCATATGGCATTGATGGGTACCCTCGACCTTTGCCGCGCATAATGTTTTGGGTCTGTTTACCCACTATACAATTCGCCTGATGAGTATGCAACGAGTAGACGAAATTGCACGTTTCATGTATAGAACAGAACTGTTATTTCGGGGCGTCAATAATATTGGGTTTCAACTTTCAAAGAAAACGTCTCCTTGTCAACTACCCCTACAGCATTAATTATAAATACAGTGCGTTGACGGTTTCACGTGGTTAGCTTATAAATAGTTATGGAAATGCGGAAATTTTCCATTTGTAAGAAGAAGGCTTAAAATGGAAACTACAATGTTTTTAATGGCGTTGAATAAAATTTTTCGGAAAACGGACATTTTTCTCAAGAGATAGAAAGCGGGATATGTAGCTCAGTGGTAAAAGCGTCGGATCGTAAGCAGGAGATGCAGGTTTAATCCCTGCTAGGTGCAGTGAATTTTTTTTCGCTGCTGCCTTGGTAACTAAATCAGTTTAATTTACACTCGTCGTCGCCCGCCAAAAAGTGGTTGTATTAACCACAGTGGCGTAGCTATGGTAGGGCAAACCGGGGCCCAGGCGACCGCAGTCGTTAGTTGCATAACTAACTACCTATTCATTCACTCTCACAATTTTTATGACATATAGAAATCATTATAAAAAAATATTAGTTTTTTTGTTTTGTTCTGTTAAAAATAGAAGTTTGTTGTTACTAACATACTAACAACGAATATAAAGTGCTCAACAATTGAAACGGAATAGTGTAAAATTTTTATGTATTTGCAGCTCCCGTATAGGAGTTTTTTGTTCGATTTTTAACTTCTTTAAAAATTTTGAATTCATATTTTATATGTGAAGTATGTAGTCCAAGGGAGTAAAGTGAAAACGTTATTCATCGATGTTACACAGGGTGGAACAAAAAACGTTGCAAAATTCGTTGTGTTACAAGTGTGAAAGATGCGTTTTTCACGGACCTTAGCTACTTTTCAAGGGGAAAAATTATTTATTTGACTTAACGTTGGTGACTGGTAATTATGTTTTTTTGTTTTTGGTCATAGCCACCTCTGATTAATTAGGTATCTATTTTTTGTAATAATGCAGTAGAAAAGTCACCGCAACTATTTCATTTACATAGATAAATATACTTACCTATATTTTTTTGGAAAGCGCAAAAAAATGCTCTTTTTGTTAAAGTCATAGCAAACTATGATTCTCGTTAAAAAAAACACAACTTTGGTTTATAACTCGAAAACTGCCAACGCCATCGAAAAACTAACTACGCCACTGGATTCTACAGTACGAAATCTATAGGAATCAGTTTTAACATCAACGAAATTTTGGATAGTCTGTGAACTACAGGAATCACCCAAAATAGCCGTTTCTTGATTTTTTGGCCTGTAATTTAAAAACGATTTTTTTTTGAAAAATCTGTTTTGCCCATCTAATTCCCATTGAAAAAGTAGCCAAGGTTCGTGAAAACCGCATCTCTCTAGCTTCTATGATAACCGAGATATCATACAAAAACATCGAAAATGGGACATACTATCTCTAGACGTTTTTGAAAATTTTATGATATTTGAAACAAGTGAGCTACGAATGGTTTTCTATTTTATGTTGTTTTTCTTGACTTTCTGCTAGTAAAATGGTACCTTTTATATCCGTACAAAAGTACTTGATAAGATTACGATTTATACAGGCTGTTAATAAACATATGTCATTAAGTTTAAAGACGAGCTGTACTCACCCAATTAAGTAACTCTTCTATATAACTTTTTTTATTTTGTGCCAAATAACAGAAATAGAAAAGGTATGAACGTCTAACCTACCTATTAACACAACACGTGATACGCGTCGATAGATATTGAAGTGCTCAGACTGCTATAGAGGGGAGAACAAATAATTTTTAAATTCCAATACCCGTCTTCAAATGCGTCCAGGAGAAAAATGTTATATAGAAAAGTTACATAATTTGGTGAGTACAACTAGTCTTTAAAATTAATAACATACGTTTATTAACGGCCTGTATAGACACAGAGCTACATTAGACATTTTACTAACCACAAACGATTATTTCTCTAATTGACATCTTTGTCCAAGGCTAACAACGCAGATGAGCTCGGAATTTCAGCAATTAACGTTTCAGCTATAATTTTGCCGTCCAAGATATGATTGGCGAAGTACTTATTCTCGAATGCTCGCCGCTACGTCGTCGTGTAAATCCACAGCGCAGTGACAAACGATTATGACCGGCAATTTCAGTGAGCCCATAATCGTAAATCGGTTTTTTACGAATCGAACTAGCCGAGAGGAATTTGTATCTAGAATGATGGAAATGCACTTAGCGCGAAACGATAACTCAATAAACATTCAATCAAGGACGCAGTAAAATCGCCGAGGGCCCGAATGGCGCGCAACTCGCTACAAATCTCGGAATCATATTTTCCGTAATAGTGCGACGGCAGATTTTACGGTTGGGTAGGCCGGATGTTATGTTATCGCTATTATTGTCTTTGCCTTTAACTGAAAGTTCAAAAATGAAAACTCAAACCGACTCGTGGCGTCATCTCATTCCGCAGATCTCCATTTCATGATCAATTTTTTTCTGCCAGTTAGTTGAGTTTAGCTTGGCAACTCGGCTTTAATTACCCCATTATCCGGAAAGGATGTGAATCCGCTGGTGTCGTGTACTGTGAGATGTCAGGCACATCAGGTTAGGGGTGTTTATAGTTCAAATGTACGGGTCGAAATCATATAAGCAGTGCAATGTAAAATATTACCACTCATGACTAGCTTTAAGCAAAAAAAATTACATAAATAGTATAGAATCGATAATTCTGCCTTGTATGTATTTATGGTAGCAATACGTCGCCGTCGGTTCGACATTTCTTTATTTTACCTAAAATCAACTGATTTTACCATAAAAAACAGTTCCGCCAACTGTTAAAGAATATTTAAAAAAAATAAGGCAGTTATTTATCATTTCAAATTTAGAACCGACGCGACGCAACGCGAGACTACAAAACGTATCTGTGTGCGAGGCTAGATCGTGTGACGTCATATACTAGCTATATGGCGGGCGGCTTATTATGTATCTTGGTGTAGATGTTATTTGTGTGCACCCCCAACACTTGGTGGGCAGATGGGCTCTAGCTCCATTCCCATTAAAGCCGCCTCCAGTTCGATGTCGCGTGTGGATGACACACGAACGACAATGAGCTCCAAGTTCTTGGAGAAAAGGGGGGGGGGGGGGGGCCGCCGGGGAAACCCACACCCCCCCCCCCCCCCCCGGGGGGGGAGTGCACCATCCCCCCCCCCCAAAAAAAAAAAACAAAACAGCCAAAAAAAAATTTTTTTCTTCTATTTTCTTTGCGCTTTAAAAGTAGTTGTGCACATGAAATAACTACAGCTGTATCAGCAATAACAATATCTTCGTCGGTATACGTTCGCTTTCCCAAAACGCTGCCAATATTAGCCGTATCATGTGGATAAGTACTTTTCCATGCAGGAATGGAAACATGACGAGTGAATGCATGTATAGGTATGTTGGACCAAAGACCATTAATAATGGTCTTTGGTTGGACACAAATGCATGTGCCATTGGCAGTCGTTTGCCATATCGCGTCGCGTGTAAATCTCTTGACTCTCAACTCTCAATTTGACTCAGTTCCCAACCAATTGGTTTAAAATTCTCCGTCTTCGACCCAGTAGCCAGCCCCCAGATAGATTATAAAAAAGTTGAAGTGTGTGATGTGGGTATACACTAAAATCCAATTAAATTGGAAATTATATCCGATTCGTATATTAACTAGTTAACAGATGTATGTCTCGTGCTATGACGGCGAAAGACTAAATAAATACCATGTCACATAACTATCAGAATGAGTAATTGGCACGTTCCGAAGAGTCCGTGGACGTCTCGCGTCGTTGCTCTGATTCTGGCCAACAATACCCCATCTAAATTCCTTCCGAGTCTCAAGTACCGTTATAGGTGTCGTGAGTTTCCAATCTTCGATTTATTACACCTACATGATGTCTGACAATGTTAAGAAATAACGACAAAGAGTCGTTACGCGTACTTTTAAATTCCCGGTGGATGTACCATTGAAAAAATTGATTTGTAACATGACAGAAAATGTATTGACAAAGGCAGAGTACATTCTGAAAAAAAGTAGATTAGGTTTACAGTTAGTTATTGTCATTAACGATACTACTATATTTCACAGCATAGTTGCCAATTGCAGGGGGAATTTTCCTTTTTTAGAGAATTTTTAATGAAAAAGGGATTTTTTGACAAAAGGAATTTAGTAAAAAGCCAAAACCGAACATTGAACTTTAATTCGTGCTTTGAAACATTGGTTTTTTGAAATTAGTACGTGGTAGACCTTTTTTTTTTTAGCTAATTTTGTGGAAGACAGGTAAAATCGCAAAATTACCACGACGAAATTCTGAATCCGTGCTTTTCCAAAAACATAGTTGGAATGAATTTTTCTCTTCGAATCGGGTTTTTTAAAAAAAAAAATGAAAAAGGGATTTAAAGGATTTGCTTGTAGGGAATTTGTTAGAAAGTGGCAAACTGTTTCGCAGATAAACATGCAAATAATTATTAATTATGTTAATTTAGAAAATGCTGAGGAAAATTCATATTTTATAGGTTTTGAATAATGAATTCCCGGAAAGTAGTATTTTCTTTCTGGAGAACCTCCCCAACTCATCAAATGACATTCGGTAACATTTAAAAAAATTTGTCTGGTCCTCCGGGAAGTACTGAATGTAATATTGCAAATTCTCCTTCTTCATTGCGTTTTTTTAGCATTTTTATGCACCCAAAAACGCCTTTTTCTTTTTCTGCAATATTTGTTTGCATTTTGTTGCTCTTCTTCATCTAATATTAGTTAGTCTGCCGTCCTCTATTTTAGTAGGTATATTTTTGTCAGCAATATTGATCATCTCTCCTCTTGATCCAATCTGCACTTTTCACCGGCCAAACTAGATTTAAAAACCTGTATATTATTCGTCAGATGAAGACAAAGAAACATATCATTATTAATCAGTTTCTCGCTGCAAACAATAGGATAGTTATAATGTTGCGGACACAAGGGGTAAATCTACTATGCACACACTATAATGAATAGATAGCAAATCATCCAATTATAATTAACCGCGTAAACATCCCCAGTAATTACGGAAATTATCCCAAATGAATAGCTTATTCGAGGTCGGGATGCAGGGCCTCCCCTATAAGAATTACAGGATACCATCTTTTTAATACAAATAATATAACGTCGTAATTGAATGTCATGCCATTTTAGCTATTAGCACTTATTAACCATCTAACGTTGAGTCGCTGTTATGCTGTTTGGTTTGCTAGTTTGCATAATTTCTGCATCAAATTTCTAACGTTTTATTTGAGGGAATTTTCAAAAAAGTTTTACCAGGAGTGCATTTTAATATGCTT